TTTGTGCACTATGAAAGTTGGAGGTCAAAGTTAAAATTTGAAGCCAAGTTTAAGGTCCAATATATGTATTATCCCCCTTACATGTAAGACGCATGTGAATTGCCACATAGGACGCTATGTAAGACACATGTATCTACTTGTTCAATCTTATACAAATTTAAGGGGCTATATATGCACATCTATAATGGAGGACATGAATGAGAGCTGAAACCAAGTTAAAGGGTAAATTTATGTATTATGCCATTTGTTTTCTATGTAGGAAACTTATTAACATTTTCAACATTCTTTTCCCATAGTTTCCACCAAGATTGAACTCATTTGTAATGTCTCTTTATATAGAACTGAAATTTCTACATTCATCTCATGACTTGATATTACTCAAGGCTTGTTAATCTAATAACTCTTAAGGTAAAAAAAAATTCGAATACTAGTCCATGGAGAAGATTTTTTCATTTTCAACTCAGGCCAACAAGATAGGCGATGCTTTCAATCATTTTAATTCAACCATATTAAGTTATGTGATTTTTTGCCTAGTAATCACATCTCAGGAATTTTCTTCGTTATTTCGAGCCATTCTTTTCGTTTTTAATACTCCATTTAATAAGCCCGATAATGCTGAAACTTCATCAAAGGCAAATGTCAATACTGAAGGGCTATTAGAGGAGGATGTTGAGTTAGTATTGGACACACTAATGAGTTTTTGCAACCAAAATGGGGATAAGAATATTGATGAGGTAGAATTGGTTGATGTTTTCGATTCGTTTGATGAAACAGAGCCTAGTTTGGAGGAAGTTAAAGAAGCATTTGATGTGTTTGATGAAAATGGAGATGGATACATTGATGCAAATGAATTAGATAAAGTCATTTCGAAGATGGGGTTCTTGGAATTATCGGTGTTGGATTGCCAGAGGATGATTGCGCCATTTGATGAAAACAGAGATGGAAGAATTGAATTTGGTGAATTTGTGAAGCTCATGGACCATATCTTTCAATAACTCTGCATTATCCATTTTCATGTTTAATTTTGTGTTACTCTTTTCAATGCTAATTAATAAAAATATTTATGATATATGATAGTAGTAGTAAGTACTATAAATGAATGAGAAACCTCTTTGCTCAAAACTAGTCCATCATGAGTTAAGAGACCAGGTCTATTGACAAAACTAGTAATAGAAGTATTTAAGTAAATGATTAGAGTAATCTTTACTTGGAAATCTCTTTACTCAAAAGAGAAAAAAAAACACGACATGTCACACAAAATTTCTCAAAACTCCATCAACTTCAAACAATACGTCGATATAGACTCAAGTACGTACGGCGGATTAAACCTACACACCTTGTAACTCCTCTATTACAAGACACAAAATAATAACTCTATTGTCCAGTATATCAACTACCTCTAGATAATATAGACTTCACTATAAATATCACTTGACTAACTCTAACCACAAGCTCAACTCACAATAACAAAAGATGAAATGATCTACACTCATTTATATTATAGGAATAGATCTACAAATATGAGAGCACAAGACACTAAACTCAAACAACAACGGGAAGACGATGCAATACTCAATCAGGTCCCTCGTTGTATGTGTGAGAAGACTTCCTACTTGAGAATGGCTTTTGCTTTTTTGTATTTTCTTGATTGCAAAAACTAGGTTTAATCTAGTCAACATGTTCATTTTATAAGAGAGACAAAAAACCTAGTTAACACGCCATTGGTCGAGGACTGGTGTCCTTTCTGCACATCTATTGCAGTGCCCACCAATCACTGTAGTTTCTACATCTTTACAGCTGCACACAATTGACCTGACCTTTAACATGAGAGTTCTGAGGATCATGTCCCTTTGCACCTTAGTTTGTTAATTCATCAAAACCTAGAATATAACATTATCATTTGAAGATATAATGTTCATGTTTGAGAGGAACTTTGAGTTTTGAGTTGACAAACTCGGTATAAATTGAGTGTTTCGCTAAATAAAGATAATATAGAATTAAAATGGGATAAGGCACAAGTATCCTTTAGACTATGACCGAAATTCTAGGGACACGTCTAAACTTAACTAGGATCCTATTACCCTCCTAAACTATTTTAAAATGGAATAAATACACCACAAACACTGACATGGCATAGAGAGTGTGCACACTCTCTTGAAGGCAAGTGTTGAGTGCACAAATTGGAAACATGTCATTTTTTTATTGGTAATTTTACAATTAGTTACGTACACGTATTTATTGATATTAAAACTTATATATATTAAATTATTTTTATTTCTTTCTTTGTAAAATATTTATTTTAATTTCTTTTCACTTCAAAACTTTTTTTAATTAATTTATTATCTTTTCACTTTTAATTATTTTAAAAAAAATATGTGTATTTTTAAAAAATCATAATTTTAAAGTGTTCTTTAATTATGTTTTATTTGATTTTCTTCACTTATTATGATATTCGTTCAAAATTAACTTATTTTAAATACAAGACATTTGGAATTAAATTTGAAATCAAATCAAAATGAAAGACAGAGAAAATAAAATCAATAGAAAAATAAAAGAGTAAAAACAATGAATGAAGGTAAAAAAAAAAGTGTATTAACTTAATTTAAAAACAAGATAAAGAAAATAAGATTTTTTTTAAAAAAATAAAAAATTTGCACACGTGGCAGATGAGTGTGTATAAACACAACCAACTTGGATGGTTGAAGGTAGCACGTCAGCACAAAAATACGAAAAAAATGAATTCAGCGGTAATATGACCCTCATTAAATTTTGATGTGTCTAAAATTTCAATCATAGTCTAGAAAATAATTGTGCCTTATTCTTGGAAAAAAGTGGTTCATAAGATGCCTAAAGTTAAAACTATGTATTAGGAGAAAAAGAGGAAAAAAATTAGAAGTAACGCGGTCGGCGCAATAAACCTTGGTAGAACTGGAAAACACGCCGTTCCTATTATAAAGCTATATAAAAACCCCAATTACCTAACAAAAAATTAGATAGATTCAATGGCTTCCATTAGATGGAGCAGAGGAAGAACTATTGGAAAAGGCGCTGAAGGTATTGTCACTTTAGCAACTACACACAACAATTTCTCCATCGCTGTCAAATCTTCTCTGTTTTCTTGTTCCAAATCGTTACAGAAAGAGAGAGAATTCCTTAACGAATTTCAAGATTGTTCCCAAATTATTCGATGTTTCGGAGCGGATGTCACTGAAGAAGATAACAATATTCTCTATAATATATTGCTGGAATATGCTATTGGTGGAAATTTAGCTCATCGGATTGGTAAAAAATCAGGATTGCCGGATTTTGAGGTAAAAAAGTACTCAAAATCAATTCTATTGGGGCTTAGGGTTGTTCATGGAAGGGGTTTTGTTCATGGTGATATCAAACCGCACAACATTCTACTCGTGGGTACTGAAAAAACGGCCAAAATTGCGGATTTTGGATTCGCAAGCAAGGTTGGAATTGGGAATAAGAAAAGAAAGCTTAGGGGAACGCCAATGTATATGGCACCAGAATCGGTGCTTGATGATGAATATGGAACTCCCGCTGATATTTGGGCTTTCGGATGCACTGTTTTTGAGATGATTACTGGGAAAAAAGTGTGGGATTGCACTGGAATTAACGATCCTCTTCATCTTTTGTGCAAAATTGGAATGCAATCACCGGAGTTGCACGACGAGAAGTTGTCCAAACAGGCAGAAGATTTTCTGAATAAGTGCGTTGATAGGGATCCGCATTCTCGATGGACAGCTGATCTGTTGTTGAATCATCCTTTCCTTTCATCTGATAATAATGATGTTCATCAGAGGAAGAGGAAGGAACTCAAGCTTGTTGATCTATGCAATAGTACAGAGCTGAAACTGTTGACCAACAAGAGGAGAAGAGAGCTAGTGGAAAGATGTTGATTATTATTCATCTTTTGATTAGAATTATATTACTCCATATAAAGTAACATATTGGCAACTTTGTGATCCTGCCCCTTGTATTAGAACAAAACAATTTTGTGTATTGAACAATCTGTACAAAAGAGGCTTTTTTTAAGGTAAATTTTGGCTAACAGCAAATGCATTCTCTTTCCCGTGTCTTGCAGAGTCATGTTCTGTTCTTCTCCTTTTCCGAGCATCTTGATTATATGCCTTAGATATCTTTCAGATCACTTTAGTTTTTCTCAGTATATTTGTTTATATCAAAGCCTGATGGAAGTGGACGCCCGACTATAGTATAACATAACATAAGTTTTTGATGCATATAGTCTCAGCGGCTTAAACTGTTAACATATGAAGAGATTGCTCCTATGTCGTTATTTCTCTGATATTTTTTGCTATAATCAAATGTGCTCATAGGATGGTGAATTCCACCACAATGGCTGACATTCACACTAGCTCCCGTTGATGTTTCTTTCTTTGAAACCTAGTGAAACTTGAATCGTGATGTTGTTTTAGGACACTTGAATGTTCATGAATATTCTTGAAGTTGGAAGTGTACGAGGTGCTAAAGAGTTATACATATATAAATCGTCTCTCTTAGTAGCAGCTTGAAGGAATAAATTTTGTTTAAGTGGTAGATTGACTTTGTATTAATTACAAAAGTAGTAACTTGATTTTGTCTCTGTTGGTCTGGGTTATATTGAACGGTAAGCAGGGGTGGACCTACAGAGGTTCAAGTGGGTTCAATTGAACCCACTCCATCGAATTTTTTTGTTTTATACAGATATAAATTATTTGTAAAGTTGTGTTTATAAATAAAATGAAGCCACTTTTCACCCAATGAATGACGTGGATCAGTGGTGAATGGGTTCAATTTCACCCTGCGAATCCAACATGTTCGATCCCCAGTCAAAGCATAATTTTTTGCGTTTTTTTGTTCTCTTTTGTATTTTCCAAATACTTTTTCTTTTTAAAATTAACTAATAAATGTAGATAATTGTTTTGTAGTCCTAGACTTCTAGTTCATGTGAAATAACAATAGTATTATTCTAAATTTATTAGTTAAGTTTTCTTTTTATGGTTGTATTTGAGAATTATTTAAAATTGTCAATAATTTAGGCAATATGTTTATAGTTTTTAAATATGCTCTCCAATCCAATCTTATTTTATCATTTTGCTTTTTACACACATATTAAGAAATCATAAATAAGAAAAATAATTTTACTAAGCCACCTCTTAAAAACTTCTTGAGAATTTTACAAATAAATATGAACACTTTCAAAAAGAATTAATTACAAGGGTAATATATGAAAAAATTGATTAATGCTTTCTTGATTTAGTAAGGTGGACAACTAATTTTAGTAAGATGATCAACTATTATGAAACGAGGGAGTAATACTTAACTATGAAAACCTCTATTTTATGGAACAACCGATTTGGTGTGTTTCCATTGTTACTTAATTTCTTTTTTCCAATTATATCTTTACATAATATTTCAAAATACTATTTTACCCTTTACCTTATATTATTTAATTCTAGTCAAACCTCCTACCCTAGAATAATTAAGGATATTTTAGTAAATTTATAAATTACAATATAGTACTATACAATCAAACCAAACAATTAAAAATGTTATTAAACAATAACAAACAATACAGTCTAGCCAAACATTGTATCTACCATACAGTACAGTACAATAGAGTACAATACAATATAATACATTATGAAACAATGGGTATCAATAATTCAAACAGAGTGTTAGTTTAATTTTTTGTAGTATACAAAATCGTGTATTTATTTTCCTTTTTACTTGGTATACACGAAAGTTAGGTTAGTGCATTTATTTATGTATGATTTTTAAAATTGTTATTGTTTTAGTCTTATATATAAGAGTAACAAGTTGCTTGTTAAATTGAAAATATGTGGAAAATTTTCTTGGAAGCAGATAAAAAATTAATAGAGTATATTTTAATTTTTGTTAGGAATATCACCTTAAAATAACTTGTTAAGGATATAATGAAAAAAAATGATAATCATTATTACTGACCGTCGCCGTGGTTATTTGT